GTTTTATTGTAGCAGCCATTTGAATGAGGATTAAAAAAATATCTGCCAAAGTGGAGTTTGCAGATTCTATACATTTAGCAGCCTTTTTTGCAGGTGATAATACATTTACATCTTGGATCTTTTTCTAAAAATATTTTCAAGTCATAATACAGAATTACAGCAATCCCATGCACTGCTCCATCTTGTTACCACTGATGGCTTAAGACCTCCACCCATAATGAATGCTTCAACTATTTCATTACAAAGTTGTGCACCTGCTTTATAAGAACCTTGAAAATAACTCACAAACTTTTGACAAAACATTCTTGCCAAAACTAAATTTTTTAACAATATCTGAACAAACTAAGTTTACATGATGTGCTACACATTGTATAGATAATATATGTAGATATTGTTCTGTAACTATTCTTTTTGCTAGTTGCATGTTGCTTACACCATCACTAATGACAGCAGAAAATCTTTGTGGCCCAATTTCTCCAAGAATTTTTGCAATTTCTTCAGAATAATCTGAAAAATCCCTAATTGAATGAACAAATTGTTTTCATGATGAAGTGATAATCAAAAATCCACAATATGAATGATGTTGGTTACTCTTCTAACTATCAACAACCAAGGATAAGTTTTCTTCACTTTTTAATTCTTTCTCAATTGAAATACTAATTCTTGCAACCTCTTTATCTATCAACCTTGTACTCAATGTCCTACAATCTGGTGGGTTATAAGCAGGACACAAATTTTTAATGAAATCCAAAAAAAATACATCTTCAACTGTTGCAAATGGTATGCTACAACATACAAAAAATCTTGTTAATGCATTACCACACAACTTTGATTGTCCTTGGCTTATGTTATATTTTTGAAATTGACTGGTTATTCTTGGTTGTAGACCACTAGCAATTTCTAAATCTAATACTCTTTTAGAAGAATTATTTTTTTTAGTTTTACTTTGTTCATTAACTTCATCATTTGAACTTGCAATTATTTGTAAAAATTTTTGTTGTACTAAAGTTGGAACCTGAATACATTGTAATGCAAGATGGGCCATCATAGCTGATGGTTTCCCAGATTCTTTCGTGCCTTCACAATACTTGCATATACTACCAATATGTCCATGAATTTTGGGTCCATTCTCATAAAAATGTTCCCATACTATACTTTTTGGCCTTCCATGTACACGTTTCTCAGTTTTGTTGGATTCAGCTTGAGTACAATTATTTTCATTAATTTGAATTATTTCACAATCAATTTCAGTATTATTGTTACTGTTATTATTATCAGGTGATGAAAAGCAATTGTTCAACTCTTGTTCAGTCATTTGAGTAACAAGTTGTAAAAAAATTTATTGAAAATATTGAATTTTGCTCCTATTTTTAATTGTGAATTTTTCCTAATTCAAATTCTTCAATTCTAATTATTAGAAAACTTCAAATATAATGGGAAATTTGGTGTAAATTATTATTACTATCACTAATAATAAACGTGGATTTTTTTAAAAAAATAAAACAAATCCTATTATAATTTTTTACTAATTATTATATTTATTTATTATTATTATTATATATTTACTACCACTATTACTAATTATTGATCAAAAAATTCTCTGCCATCATTAATCATTAAAAATTAAATATTTTTTTTTGTTGATATATTGGAAAAAAAATAATTAAAATTTTGTTTGGTTAAATTTGTGTCATATATTAATTGGTATTACGTAGTACAGTCAAACCTTGTCACAACGAATTTTGTCACAACGAATTTTTGTCACAGTGAATTTTGAGATTTTTTTTTTTTTTTAATAATAAAAAACTTTTGTTACATCGAATTTTATTAATAAATCGCATTATATCGACAACGAAGTTTTGGTAGAGATTTTTTGATATATGGTTGGCTCGGTCTAAAGACCTCCTATTGCTGCGCCACGCGCTCAAATTTCAAAAATTGCAATTTCGTAATTCGTTCAAAAATGCAATAAATTTTTTTTAAAAAGGGGTTACACATGATTTTGGTTAAAAAACTATTTTCCTTACTGCCAAATTTAGATATGATGGTCGAGTATTAGGCTAA